AACGGATTAGCAGCGCGTTGGATTATGCTAAAGAGAGCATCAAACGCTCACAGGAACAACAGCGTGTTCAAGCCAATAAACATCGCCGAGAAGTAGACTTTGAAGTTGGAGATAAAGTGTATATCCGGCGCGGTGCTGTGAGAACTACGAGACAGTCGGATAAGCTAGAAAATCCAATGGTGGGACTATATATGTCAGGAACTGAGGATAGAGGTTACTGGGATACAATGGTTGCCATGGGTTACGAATTGAGTAATCGAGTAGTAAAAGGTGGACTCTATGAGACCTAGGCTGCTCTGGATACTATGATGTATATATGGATTGGACAGAACCGCGGTAGAGGGCCACGTCTTGTCTTCCGTCTTCCACTAGCCTTATCTCCGATCCTAGATTCCCTCGTCCCTCGTCCTTAGTTCTAGTTACAATTACAAATTTATACCTTTGACTCTTGCCAACCTCCTCATATATTGCCCAAGTCACTCAGTAACACTCCCGAAGCTACCTTTGGCACCCTCGAGTTTGACAATATCGGATCATTGCCAAAGAAGGGCATTTATTCTGCGTAAAACTACCCGCCTCTTGGAAAATACACCTTGTATTTTCACCAGACCGACTGCGCAAAGATCCAGATAACCCGTTGCCCGGCCAGACCAATCCAGAGCCGCCGGCAGAAGAGGTCAATGGGGAGTTAGAATGGGAGATCGAGAAGGTGTTAGACGCGCGGCTGTATCGCAATCGGCTGCAGTACAAGTTCCAATGGGAAGGCTGGGACGCAGACGAGGGATGGTATCTGGCTGCCAACTTTCGGAACGCACCCCTCATATTAGAAAAGTTCCACGCTGAGCACCCCGAATTTCCAGGGCCACCACGACGTCTCGCTACGTGGTTGGACGATGCCGCAGATGATAGATTTAGTGAGGAACATCCGAAAGTTAACATGGTGACAAACCAAGGTCGTGACAACCGACGCCGCCGCAGTAATTAGTCGATTTGGGACAAACAAAGGCTGAGGAGGGGGTGATGTCATGGCACGGCATTCTGCTCTGTCATGATATACAATTATGTGGAGGGAGGATGTGAGATTGATGGCTGATGTGGGAAGGAGCACGTGCGCGGCGATTTAGTGAGAGCCCACCCAAATAGGAATAGCCTCAGGGCTTTTTGTAATTAGATTCTGTTCTTTTCATCTTCTCCAGCTAAGTATTCGCTTCACAGATTGAATTATCGCCATACAAACTGTACTTTCACTTGTGCCTATTCTACGCCGTGACACCTGTTTTGCAATGTGAATTGGAATTGTTACAGCATTTCTGTCCAGCGGACCTGTCTATCATTGAGGGGCTGCTTCTGATCAAAGTACTCTCGAACGCGATGGCCTGTCAGTATTAGAAACGGATCCATAAGGCTGGTAAGTTCCGCACGCCATTCCTTCAAACATTGAATAATAGCCAGAAGTTCCTTGTCGTGTATCTCGTGATGTCTTTCTAAGTCGCTCAGCGTCTTTGAATGGAATGAAATTGGTTGCCACACACCATTGTTGTGCAATTGGCTGAGCAATCTGTTTCCAAATGCGTCGGTCTCCTCTGTTCTAAATACAAAAGGATTGGCGGACTCACAAGCTTTTCCTTTAGAGAGAGAAAGGCCTCTCCTACTTGTTCTAACCATTGGAACAATTGTCCTTTCTGGGTAGCTGTGAGATTGTACAAGGGCTTTGCGATGCGCGAGAAGTTTTCAATGAAGTTCTGATAGAAGTTGCAGAATCCAAAGAACGACTACACACCTATTTTACTGCTGATCGTTCCCAAGAACGTATGCTTTCCAACTTTTTTGGATCAAGGAGAATACCAGTTGTGTTCACAATGAAACCTAGGAAGTTGACAGAATCTTGCGTAAAACGACATTTCTTGATATCCACTTGTAGTCCCGCTTTGTCCAAGCGTTGTAGTACTTCCAGCACTTGAGCCGTGTGCCTCGAGAGATCTCTAGAGTAAACCATCGCATCTTCCATGTAGGCGGCTGCGAATTGGGCTGGTAGATTGCTGAGGACAGCGTTGATGTATCTATGAAATGTTCCAGGGCCTTTTCTCCCGGCCGCAAACGCATTTCAGATCTTTATGTTCGGGGTTGAAACGTCGATGGTAGTCGGCGTAGTCCCCGTGGCCTGTTCTTGCCGCAATAAGACGATGGTACACCCATCTTGGTAAAGCTAGTTCCGGTGTTCTTTTGCAACGCATGAATAGGTCTAGATCTTTGTACCGCTTCGGTCGATACTTCTGCCAACACTCTTCCACGAGTTCTTGGCTGCGCAGTTTAACCCACCTCCCTAATGCAGCAAAGGTTAGATCCTGATCTTCTCCACTGGACGCAGCTGAGGTTAGTGACCGGTTATTGGGAGCTCCCAAGGCCGATTTGGCCAGCTTATCGGCCTCTTCATTGCCTTGAATCCCAACATGCCCGGGTATCCAGCGTATTTCCACACGCTTATTGTGTCTCAGCGACGAAAACTTGTCCACCACTGACTGCGAGGAGTTAGATCTTCCTCTTTCGAGCGCCAGGGCGGCCGCTTGCTTGTCCAGAAGAATGCAGATTGGTAAGTCTTCTCCTACCTCTACTGCAGCCTTCAAGGCTTTTATGGCGCCTACAACTTCTGCGTCGAATACCTCTGCTCCGGGAAGTGGACCGGAACCACTTCCAACTAGCTTGCCTCCTTGGTATACTACGTACCCCCAGGCTGATTTTCCGGGACCCGATGATGATCCATCTGAGAAAGTGCAGACCGTGTTAGCTGGACGGGAAGCTAACCATCGCTTTATGCTTCCAGACCTAACTTCTTTTTCTCGACTACATGGAGTCGATGCTGGGGTGCCACGTGTGAAGTATAGCTTTCCAGAGCCTTCGGCTGTCGGAACTCGACGCACACGATCATATCAAAGAAACTTTACCGCAAATGTAATTCATCTTTGGTAGCAGGATAAGTTCCCTGTAACCCTTTGCCCACAAAAACTAAAGGCTCTGGCTATTCAGGTTTGGACCGTCAAAGTCCTTGGGCATCCAGGGCAGTGAGCTTTGGCGTCTTATGTCCTACTTAGGATTAGTATTAGATAGACGTAAAATAATAAAACAAACCACGATGATATCAATTGATTTTTTTTAATTTCTAATTCTAAATGAGGACCATTGTACTTTTCCTTTGAAGTTGAAAACCATCCCCATAATTTAGACTTTCATGGAATATCATTGGATAGTACTGTGCGTCTGGGTCTTACAACAGACTAGGGACTCAAAGCACGCCTGTAATTAGTATCACAGAATGCCTGGTAAGTCGTTAAGTCAGATGTAACTCGATTTGTTCCCCTCTACCCTTAAACTCCCTATGAATACAAATACGCTACTGAGATTACATAACATAAATAGGGGTCGATTGCAGATCTCCATCATTGCACGAGCCTCCCATTTAGGATCGGGCGATGTGGATACACAGCACCCCCGGCTTGCATAGCTAGTGGACGGAATAGACATGGGCCTGCATGAAGACCAAACCAATCTAATCAAATTGCATAGGGATCTAACCCCAGTCATTTTGACAATTTTACCTTTGATATCTTGAGAGACTGTACAATTGACATCCTTAAGACACTGTATTTTGCGACAGCCTTTGCGTGCAGCCTCCATTATCCTCATCCCCTTACAATAAACCTTAATTTTATCATCAATTATCTCAAGCTCTTTGCAAAAATAGACTGTGTGTCCTACACAGTCATAGATTCAGACAGAGAGGGCAAGACTGAACACCTGTACGCGGTGTCCACTACGAACCTGGGAGTGAAATATTCTCCCAGAGTCAAGTTCAGTCAAATTTCGCAATATCAAAGAAGTTGGCCCACGAGGCAATGATTCAATTTACTCCACCACGTCGTTTTTTCGCTCCCAACGAGTTAGACCCCTACCTAAGTCTCATCAAGCCTACAAGTACAACCAAGCACATCCTCATCCCAATGATCACACCACTCTTCGACCTTCTCTGGCCTCAGCCGGTCACCAAATACACGCCCACGCCGTTATTTATACCCGACGGAGGAAGCAAAGCGTGGCGCACAAATCTGGAAGATAGTCCTTTGGGATGGATGTGAGACGAATCAGGACAAGTTGAAAAAATGATGCAAAGGAAGGATATAACCTCGAAGGGCGTGAAATTCCGAATTTTGGCATGGAGTTTTACGAATTGAGCTTTGTGCGCGCCAAGACTTCGCTTGCGAGAGTGCAGTTGGCACTATAAAAACAAGCAGACGATGGAAGGTGTAGTGATCCGCCTTCTGGTGGTGTTCTCTGGTATGGTTTGAGTAGCCTGGGCACCTACTCCACTTGGGAAGGAGACGCCTAAGACCATATTTCACGCGGAGAAAAGTTGAAAGATGATGGAGGCATGTCTGGATAACTCAGGGTTTTTGAGACGTTCCCCTGGGAGGGTATTCACGGATGAGGGTTGACTTGGGGTGAAGAAAAAGCCGCCATAACTTCGCAGTGGTACTTGTAGATGAAATCCGAGGCATGAGTGCTCTTCCTTTACGTTGAATCATCTATTCTGTACTTTTCTTTGATATTGTGTCATAGCTAGATTGCTGCATACGCAATTAAAATCTGATGCAAAAAAAAATTGCAAAAATAGAAAGCTAGCAAGTGCCACTGACACATTGTTCACAGTCATATAAGCTTAACACGAACCACATACTGCGTCAGGTTTTCAAAGCTCTGAAAAAATACTCTGTGTATACAGATACTAAGCCATCTCATTTTATCTAACTTTATTCCTAATTTTCATAGCTAGTAGTTACAGGTAAAATTCAGACCTTACTCCAACAGATTTTGCATTAATTTTAGCAGCTTTTAATAGACAAGCTGGAAGCCACGTGATTAAATTTATGGGAAACGAAGTGACGCGATGCGAAACAAAAAAAACGATCAAAATTGAGTGCGCCAAAACCAGAACGTGTATCTAATATTTAAACGGCAACAAATAGAAGTCCAAACAAGAAAAACAACCAAAACTCGCTATTCTGCCAATTTTTCGACGACATTGATGTTTTTCGGGATGACTCAATGATTTCTGGCTGACTGGCGATGGCAACCGGCTCAATGCGTGGAGTATCTCGACCGAGCGCGCTCATGGCAGTTTTGAAGACGTCTGTATTATTGTAGACCACCGTCATATCCCAGAGCATGACGCCACCAAAAGAAGAGAAGCCTTTGGCATAATTAATAACTGATTTTAACTGATCTCCTGAGACGAAGCCCGTATTCGGGGGAAGATCACCGCCGATGAGGCCCAACATGATTTTGACGTCGGGATTCGAAGACACCTAAAGATTATTGTTAGCAAATTAAAGGATGACGATGGGAAACTTGTACTGTCTTGGCCCAATTATCCCATTGAGCAAAGTTGAAAGTTGTCTGTGTCTCGTTGCCTGGCAGAAAGGAACTCGCGCCGCAATAGTTGTTGTAAAATTGTACCATAACCCTATCAAAACGAACAGAGCTATCAAGGAGCGGTCCAAAATTTTTATCTGGGTAAGAGCATTGGGGTGCACTTGTCAAATAATACTGGCGTCCAGTTTTTTTCGTCGAGTCATCCATTAAGCTACGCAAGCGATTGGCGAACGGTACCGTATTATTGACGCTAGATTCAAAGTCAAAATCAAAGCCATCAATGCTTGCATTTCCGAAGAGTCGAGATGTAGAATTTTCACAGGGTGGTCCAAAATTTGCCCATATCTTATCGGCAGCAGCAATAGCTACATCGACGGAGGAAAATTCGCCTCCGGTGTAGGCCGAACCGCCGAGGGAGAGTGTGATGGTCTTGTTGTAGACCTCTTGACATTCAATTATATCTTTTCTACAAACAGTTGGCTGAGGCCAGAAGTAGGGGATCAGAAAAATTCTTACTCCATTTCCGGACAAAAAGCCAGATGCGTGCCATTTACTTGCAAGCAAGCTCCTTCTGAGTTGGCTAGATTCACTGTCTCATTGCCAAAACTCGACATAAAACTAATGGGGATGAGCTGTAATTCATGTCAGCTTCTCGTGAGTCCAAGTCTAATGCAGAAATAGCTACGTCAATGTTGGAATCTTTAAGCGAGTCAGTTATCAGTGCCAAAACATCAGAAAATTACCTACTTTTACAATAATTTGATAAGCGTTTTTGCGATAATGTACCATTGGCGTGTTGTAGAGAGTTTTGACCTGTAAAGCTTTCAGACTTGTTAAACGCCTAGACTATGGATTCGCCTTACCCCAATAAACTGAGATAATATCTGAGGCGTGATTACTGTATGCTGCCCGAGCTAAGGAGATAAGTGCGAGGTGGCTGAAGACGAGAGAAGTGGACAACATGACGAAAGAATTAGATATTAGGTTAGTGTATCAAACACAAAATTACAAGAAAATAAAGGGAATCTATCGCGGAAATACAAGTAGCTTGATCCAAGTCGGAGTGTCAGTCAATCCAAAGAAAATGGATGGATAACCCAACCTTATAGCTAGATGAAGGTTTGATGTATTCGCCATGATCTCTTCCTCCTATGGGAGTTGGGGTTGAAACGAGAGACCTAAGTATGAGGAGCTCCGCCTGATTTACTAGAGTGGAGGCCACTGTCACGATGAAGAACACAACGGTAGGGATTGATTTCTCTCACGAGTACCGTTTGAAAGGTGGTCTAGATATTTCTAAATCCATGTCTCCAGCTACTCTCCTCTCTCTCGCCTCGTCTCCTCAGCCCTAGACCGAAGTAGAAAATCTCAAATCTACATTCCGGCCTGTTTCGACATGCACCTCCATACACCTTTTCCTCTCCCATTCGTCCCTAGTAGCGATGTATCAAAGGTCAGGACTCAACAAAGCGTAGACTTTTAGTATGGTGCCAAACGGGCCATCCCGCTGCCGCTAGGCTAAACCCCTGCGAAACTATCTGCAGCGCCGTTCGAGAGGCTTAATCTGGGCTCGGCAAGCCGTGCGGCCTCAGCTCGGACCGTGCGCATGTCTCTATCCGGGTTCGATGTAGACGGCAGCACGGTTATGTGAGTCGTGTAGACCCTTTCGGTCGTTTGCATGATACCCATGAGTCAAGCTGTGACGTTTCTGTCGCCATTGGCGCGCACGTGAGCGCTAACAGAGATTCCGGCCCATAGCTCTACCCAATCCCCTCGGTGGGTTGAGGCAAGACAGCGAATTAGGAAAAGCCATGAGAAGCACTAGAATTGCGACAACGAGCTCAGTCGGCTAGACCTTTCCATATGAATGATGCGAAGTAGGGCGAGAGACATGCCATTGCGTTCCTTGGTCCTCGAGCCAGCGTCACAGCCTGAGATCCACTGCGCCTTGCGAGTCGATCAGCCGAAGGGACTTTCTGCACCACACCTGACACTTTTCTCTCTCGTGTTGCACCTCTCAGGCTCCTTGGGTCTTGCCAAGTCGTCCGTCCAGCGTATTCTCCTAAGCCTTTGCCAATCTCTTAACTCGACAGGAGCATTTAGTTTCACCTCAAGTGAGCTATCACATAATTCTCTCGCCTGGTGTGGGGAGATGTGTAGGGACTTGTGTCCTGGTTAAAGAGATTTCTACATTTGAAGGCCCCCTGGGAAATCGAGTGCCTGAGACGAGTCGACACGAATCGAGAGTCTGGGGATAGAGTTCGGCTCCCCTTATCCTCTGGTTCGAATGTCTAGATCACCCCATCGAGTGAAGAGCACGGTAGGAAGGTGGTGAGCGTCGTCTGCGTTGTTGAGGTAGTATCGGAATTTCTGCTCGGCGATTGATCTGTAAGGTTGTAGAGGATAATGGTAGACACCATGCCATAAACATGGTTCATCTGGCCTAAGGCAGACCAACTACCCGTGTCCTAAGCCCTTGCAGCTGCACGGACCACCTGTTTCTGTAGCTGGACCCCAGGCTCATCGGACTCCACTTTAAGCCCTGATCTTACCGGTTATAGAGTGACAAGCCAGGGCGACCGATCGGTCGTATCGTTCAACGATGGGTTCGACGGCTCTCTAAACAAGAAAATTCGGGGGTTGGAACCGGCGAATGTTCGATCTAGTCGGGGCAAATGTCGCTGCACCGTCATGTAATCATATATTCGTGTTTGGTAAGTGTAGGAGGATGAGCGCTCGATTATCTTCCGATAGCCAGGTCTTACCAAACATTCCTCGAGGTGTCGAAATATGCTACGAGTGTAAAGTCAAAAGTGTTGGGCAAAAGGCTTGGAGGTCTAAGATTTCACACCTGGGCTCGTCGGCGCGCCGCGCACAGGTGGGAATCTTCTCCCAGCCCTGAGTTCTCTCAAATTTTGCAACACCAAAGGAGCTGACCCACAAGGCGATGATTAAAGGCTCTCTATAACTTCAATTCCTCAACCCCAACTGGATAAGCTACGACCTAAGTCCTGGCCGCTCTACCAGTAAGACTTAGCACATCATCCTTTCAACGGTATACCTCTCGTCGCCTCAGTCTCTAGCCTCCAAATACACGCGCACGACAATGCGAATGCGCGCAGAAAGACCCCGATCGTGGCGCACAAATCCAAGGGACGCATCCTCGGCATGAACGAGAGAGATGTCAGGAAAAATCGACAAGATGATGCCAAGGATAGATACAATTCCGAGAGGGCCAAACTTTGCACAGTGAACGACATTAAAAAAATGAAAAAACTTCAATTATTCTGTTTAGCGCCTCGAAGGCCCATGCAGTATTTTCTGAGGATTCACGTTTATCGTAGAATGACTCATTTGACGTTTGGATCACTCACACCTGGGTTTCAATCGCAGATACCACTCCATACTAGCCCTAACGGTACGTAATCTCTCTCCTGAGTACATACTATGGGGAAATTTGTGAAAACTCTTGGGTTGTCCGAGTGGGCTTTTCTCACCCTACAAACACGATATCTTAGCGATGGGATATGGTGTGCGGGTACGACTGGATTTGAAAGAGCTTTCTCCTGTCTCAAACAGGCATGTGTCCAAGCTATCCAGATTCTGCTTGGGAGAACGGTCTAGGCGGAGTACCACTGCAACATCCAGCCCCGGTGAAGAGCATTTTTTGCACTATCTGTCGGTTTACCACCGGTTCTAGTTAATATGCTAACACAAAGATTGGGTAAAATGCTTATTGATCAAAATGTGTATCTATCTCTATCTATCTTGAATAATGAACGGAAGTAACCCCAAGGCCGCGCTGACACCACGTGACTAATATCCGTAAATTTCCCTATAGCTACTCTGCCAACACCAGTATCTGACCGAAAGGGAATCATGTGATTCAACTAAGTTCCCCCTTCCGTATTGTTTATTTAATATATTCTTCATTCAATACAATCTGAAAACATGAGAGTTGAAGGGAGACCTGTAACCATGTACAATCTAATCTTCAAGCGCAGGATGATAAGATCCTGGCTTTCTCTTGCTCTGTTGGGTTTGTTCAGGCGCCAACACGTCGGGTAGTTTTATTTAGACTGAGCTAGCCGGCACGTGAGGAGCTCACGTGCTGTGCGCGGGCACGACGTTAAGTATTATAAATAAATAAAATACCAACACCAATATTCACACACTATCCTTTCCCTTTTTTGAGTCACTTCATGTGTATAGGGCTATATTAATATGAAACACGATTAGTGCTTTGTATACATGATAGATGACTATTTTGGCCTCAGATATACTCAAACGCTTGATTTCATCCAAAAACACCATTATGAGGTATGTCTAACTACACAGAACAGCCTATCCTGGCCCACAAAGCGTCGCCACTGGGAAGTTTCAAGGCCTTTGATTGTTCATCCTGTTGTTTCTTACATGGTTGGAGCCCTAAGCCGGAGGGCAAGACTGAACACCTGTACGCGGTGTCCACTACGAACCTGGGAGTGAAATATTCTCCCAGAGCCAAGTTCAGTCAAACTTCGCAATATCAAAGAAGTTGGCCCACGAGGCAATGATTCAATTTACTCCACCACGTCGTTTTTTCGCTCCCAACGAGTTAGACCCCTACCTAAGTCTCATCAAGCCTACAAGTACAACCAAGCACATCCTCATCCCAATGATCACACCACTCTTCGACCTTCTCTGGCCTCAGCCGGTCACCAAATACACGCCCACGCCGATATTTATACCCGACGGAGGAAGCAAAGCGTGGCGCACAAATCTGGAAGATAGTCCTTTGGGATGGATGTGAGACGAATCAGGACAAGTTGAAAAAATGATGCAAAGGAAGGATATAACCTCGAAGGGCGTGAAATTCCGAATTTTGGCATGGAGTTTTACGAATTGAGCTTTGTGCGCGCCAAGACTTCGCTTGCGAGAGTGCAGTTGGCACTATAAAAACAAGCAGACGATGGAAGGTGTAGTGATCCGCCTTCTGGTGGTGTTCTCTGGTATGGTTTGAGTAGCCTGGGCACCTACTCCACTTGGGAAGGAGACGCCTAAGACCATATTTCACGCGGAGAAAAGTTGAAAGATGATGGAGGCATGTCTGGATAACTCAGGGTTTTTGAGACGTTCCCCTGGGAGGGTATTCACGCATGAGGGTTGACTTGGGGTGAAGAAAAAGCCGCCATAACTTCGCAGTGGTACTTGTAGATGAAATCCGAGGCATGAGTGCTCTTCCTTTACGTTGAATCATCTATTCTGTACTTTTCTTTGATATTGTGTCATAGCTAGATTGCTGCATACGCAATTAAAATCTGATGCAAAAAAAAAACAACCTTTTTGGTTTTTACAATTTACTTATCTAGCACTCGTGATTTTGATAATAAGATTATATTTTTTTTTCTTTTTTTGCATCAGATTTTAATTGCGTATGCAGCTATCTAGCTTTGACACAATATCAGAGAAAAGTACAGAATAGATGATTCAACGTAAAGGAAGAGCACTCATGCCTCGGATTTCATCTACAAGTACCACTGCGAAGTTATGGTGGCTTTTTCTTCGCCCCAAGTCAACCCTCATGCGTGAATACCCTCCCAGGGGAACGTCTCAAAAACCCTGAGTTATCCAGACATGCCTCCATCATCTTTCAACTTTTCTCCGCGCGATATGTGATCTGAGGTGTCTCTTTCCCAAGTGGAGTAGATGCCCAGGCTTAAAAAAGTTGTTCAAACCAGAGAGCAAATCCAAGTGTCCAGCCTGAACAAATCTAAATCCCGTTGCCTCAGCCCTAACCGAATTAAGAAGGTAGCCCCTGTACCACCACATCCAGATTAAATCTAGCAAATTAACAACAAGAGGCAAGTTGCTACGAAAATCGACAGCCTGATCTTTCGAAGGTATGATAAATAACGGCAAAGATATGGCTAAAATTGCACAGTGGATATAAAAAGAAGGATGGCCTGGGCAGTTTCGGATTACCGGAGAAATAGAGGCGTAAATCAGGCGAAGTTCGGGGGACTATTCTCAACACCTGTCAGTGGTGTCCCCTACGAACCTCCAGCTCTCACTGTAGAGTCTGCAGAGCCGAGGTTGAGTAACAAAATCCTCACTTCGACGAGGATTCACAATCGCTTTCGCAGTTTGTATCGTCTTCATCTCTCAACATATTCTGTCATGTAGAGACATGATTCATTCATGAGTTGATAATGTTCAGACGATCATGACTATATCACAACGTGATGTATAGACACGATTCGTCATTTTTACTTGTTGTATGAACCATGACTATGTCTCAGTAATAGGAGAAATATCATTGACTAGTTACTAGAAGCCTAGTCAAGATCCTAAACATACAACTGAGACTAGGAGAATTTTACCGAGTAAGTGATTATTCTGATGAATCTAGATCTGGAGGAACATAATCCGGCTGCTTGAATCGAGGTATATGAACTGGAGTATATCATATATTATAAACTATATAGAAATCTATCTAAATCAAAATCATCATCTTAATTCATGTCACCATCAATAGCTGCAAAGGATAGTTTAACCATTTCCATATACATTCCCCTATCACCATTATCATGAAGCTAACCACCATCAGATCGGATGGTAGGGTCGGAGCCCTACTCATCACCAACCCTTGGTCATGGAGGAAAAGCCATCCGATGAGTTTCCGAAGCGTACCCAGCACCCGATACGGAGATGGTGGATTGGATTAAGCTGACTTCGAATGTTACAAAGAAGGGAGATATAGATGGATATGCGCACCTCATATGGTCCCGGTGTCGAGGCCTCGCATGGCTGGGGCTGCAGGATTTTTGGAGACTTTTTCCCGCGCACGCAGTTTCCATTGCTACCATTTTTATTTTTTTGGGTAGAAGATTCCGTGGTGTCAGGCGCAGGTTCAATAGGCGCAAGACTCGAGACGTCGGAGAGGGCGTAGCGTACAATGTACTGAGGAAGGACGCCTCGTGGGAACGCGGAGGGCTTTCTAGAGAAGTGGTAATTGGGAAAGCGGGGAGTCGTTCTAGATAAAGGGGCCGGAGGTGACGGTAGGTCACTATGGTTGGCAGAGGACGAGAGTGAGATGTGATTAGAATAAAGTAACTATTCCTAAAGACAGAAAACAAAGCGTGAAGATCTCAGTATCCGAAGTGAAAACTACACAACTATCCTCGCTAGGCCATAAGCCTAGTGGTGCTAAACAGGGAACCCATAAATCCTGCCTGAGGCATTTATCCAGAATCCTTACATCAACTATCCAAACCTGAATTGCGAAAGTCTTTGGTTTTTATGTGCAAAGAGTTGTGGAAGAGTTGTGGAGGAGTTATGCTGCTCCAAAACTTGAAATACAATGACAAAAAAGTTTCTTGGTCATGAACATTCTTTCTTTTATTTATTTACATAGATTTTGCGCGAAGAAGGCACACAGGATAGCCGCGGCCTGTAGGTCTTCTAGATAACGTTTGGTATGCTTGCACGGCTTATTGCTGTCAGATATCTCTATTGTTAAATGACGTCTAATTAAATCTCCACAGACAACATAGTATCGTGTCGCTACTTGCTGCAACATTCTTTCTTATACTGTTAGGGACTTAAATTTAATTCTATTCTATTCTATTCTATTTCTTTTATTGGTTGCTTGTTTAGTATTTAATGTCTAGCTAATGATTATAATACACTAGTCCCGGATTGGAAAAGGACGCCAGATCTTACTGCTCTAGAACCGGGGGCACCCAGCTTCCCCAAACAAAGAAGGGGCCCAAGATGAAAAACAGTGTCAGATGACCTAAGACGTCACGCTGTCTACGGAAATTTATGTCTCCCAGAGGGGATGAGAGCCAGTCATGGTGGGAAGAATATCTTCTCGATATGCTAAATTAAATTAGAGGAAATGAAAGAAAAGAAATTTTAGCCCATGAGCATTCTTTTATTCTATTTTTCTTTGAACTGCTGCTAAGCCTTGTTCATTGATGTCTCAAGAGGAATCCGGGGACAAATTTTGGTGAAGAACTGTGATTTTTCAAGCCATGGTGCAAGTTTTGATGCTCCTGTGGGGGTCCTAAGAAAGAACCTCCATTTGTCTGAACAGCCCCTGGGCGGTTTGAGGGGACTTGATGTGATCAGTCTACAGTTTAGGAAATGGATTCTTTCTTATATACAACGTACACTATTTTACATGGTGAATTACTAAGTGACTAATCATGTGCCGGGTATCGAGTCTACATTTCATGACTCAACTGGATGACTATGCAGTTTTACCTGACGGGCTCATCAGCCATTTCGCTCGATTAACTCAATCTATTGAAGCTTCACTCTTTTAGTTATTCACAGGGATATGAAAGGCGAGTCAATTACATTGTACAGGCAGAAATACCTCATAGTGGTATTTGCTGATGGAATCCAGGTTTTGAGTTCTTCAAGAGCTAACAGTCATATAAAAAGTACTTGTAAGAATTCACAGCAAAATTATGCGAAAGTCACGTGATAGTGTGGAACTGAGCCAGATTGAGAAGGCAACTTATCATCGAAAGAACTCACTACTTCATTCTTCTCTGCTGCTGTGAGAGTCTGATTTAATGTTAGTCTCTGTGAACCGTCGTCACCCCCAACAAGTACGTGAGGCTATTCTAGTGCCTTCATCAATGATCCCAGGTGCGCAATTAGTAAGTTCTACATCCCTGTTGTTAATCTACATCTTGCCTATAAACTGTACCCCAGCGCAATAGACTTTCGTCGGTTTATATGACTGAAGATAATAATCATGTGTCATAGAAGGATGATCGATCACACAAATCATGACTGAACTCCCACTCTTTCAATCACAAACATACCGTTAAGGCTCCAATCTTAATTTAACTCACCGACGCTTTTCTCCATGGTCAAGAATTTAACCATATTGTGCCTGAGTTTGGATTTCCTCAAGATCATGTTCACGACGGGATCGTTGCAACAGTAGCGGACATCTATGAAAGGATTCTGCAGGAGGCTTTGGGAAAAAGTTATGATCAGGAAGACTGATAGCGCCTGAGATTAGTAATTGAGCTCAAAAGCAACGAAATAACATTTTAGATTCTGGAGCAACCCCATGTTCAACTTTTCAAAATTCACCACCAGGAAATCGTCTCGCAACATGACTTTTAATTATATCCCGTTGAAAGATAGCCCAACGCCTTTACCACATAACCCCCACGGTTACTTGCCCCATTTTCAAGCATCAATCTCTCGACTTCTCCAATCCTGCTCGTCACAATACCGCGGTGGAAGCTCTGTTTCCCATATCGGGCGCTCCACTAGGACAACCTCAGGACCTGCCGCACCTTGCTTTTCACCGATCTCGGCCATGTGGACTATAGGTCGGTATTTGAACGTATGGTAGGAAGGAGCAACTTTTTCACTGACCACTACATCCGTCGCGCTTGGTATGTGGCTCTGCGTCTCTGATTCTGCAAAAATAGTGCCATTTTCATTAGAGCTGTCAGGCTTGATGCTAGCGGTCTCCGGGTGCGATAGTCGAGACTCCGGTTCCGCATCATCGTCCTCATCAATCTCCATAGCATCATGGCCAAATATCTCAATCTCCTCATTAACTTCCTCATGTATAACTCTAGTTAGTGTCTTTCCGATGCCGACATCTACCTTCGATTTTTCCGTCTCTCCACCTGCGCCAGTTCCGCCCCTTTTTCTCTTGAGAGTACTTTCTTGACCACCCTTACTAAAGTCTCTTCCGAGGTCAAACATCCATACCCAACTAATTGAATAGAGCCATACCCTTTCCCGTCCAGCACTCAAGTCCCACACAACACCTCTAACTACTTCTAGTGTCTTTCGGTACTGCTCCGGAAAAGCTGCAGGAGGATTATTGCGTGACCATTGACTAAGGGAGCCATTCAGGACTTCGAACTCATATATATTTCCCGTCGCAGTAATGGCAAGTAAGCGATCCTCGTTGGATACACCATCGTGCAGTGATTGGCGTAATGAGTTTTTAGATTTAGGAGTAGATATAGTTTTTGTAGAGTTAGGTTTGATCGATGGGCGAAAAGAAATGATGACAGGGGTAGTAGAAAGCTTGGGTAAAGCAGCGGTCTTAGGGTTACGGATCCAAAATTGGCCGAACACAAGCTTAGATTTTTGTAACTCGTTGTCCTCATCTTCACTGTCAGAGCCTAGTCCTTGCTCTAGGGAGATACTATCTTCAAGCGGCTGGGATTGTTCTAGTTGATCCTCGTCACCTGAAAGTACAAAGCAGTCGATATACCCGGCAAGATCACTTACAGCTAAAATACGGCTATTAGCTGAAAATGTAGCTTGGATTATGGTCCGATCGTAATTTCCAAGTCCCCCCAGCAGCGAGATCTTGTCTGTTTGGCGATTTAAGCGAGTTAGGGGAGTGATATGTGAAGCAAACGATGGACTTGACGCGGAAGGAATTAATCGAGCGAGAATTATGTTACTGTCTGATCTAATAATACAGAGCCATTTTCCATCAGGAGAAAAGTTTACTAGTCGTGCCCCACCGATGAGCTTTGGTGGGATCTCAATTTTTGAGATTTGAAATGCCTCTGTAAGATTGTTGACACGGAGTTGAAGGTGGAATGCTTTAGTTTCGGTTATTGTAGTTACGATAAGAACGCTGCCTTCTGGACTTAGAGATGCCGAAGTGATATTTGCTTCCCCTTTGAGATATAGTTTTGCAACTAGTTGCCTGCCCTTAGTACCGTCATCGCCGTCTGCACTATTTGAGGCGCTGGACTCTTTTATTTTCCAAATTCTAACCTCTCGGTCCCACCAGCTCATGATAAGTCGCACTTTGGGTACACTTCGAACGGTTGGGTCTTGTGAGAGAAATGGTAACGCCCTGTGATTTTCAAATCCAAACTTACTCATGGGAACAACGATAGGAGATGCGTCATGTCCTAGCATAGTCAGTTTTGTGAGCATTTATATAGTTGATGAACATACCGCCAGACACTAACATACTCATTCCCAGACCCTCAAAGCTAGCCATAGCTTTCACATCATGAATATGAAATCTACGATGCCCTGTTTCTATCCATCTACCCTTGCGATTTGGAGAAGGCTTATATAGAACTGTCCTTTTATCCATGCCTCCACTAAAAATCATGGTTCCATCTGGATTTGTGGCTAGGCAAAGCACATCTTCTTTGTGGGCTGATAGTCTTTGTCGGAGGGTAAAAGTTTTTCCATCCCAAATCTTCAATTCTCCAGTCGAGTCCCCAGAGATTATGGTCCCATCTTTCAATGACTTAATAGACCAAACTATGATGTCTTTTGGTCCACCTTTAGGTCCCGATCCCAAGGTCATTGTCCTCACTAAGGTGTTCTTCTTCAAGTCAAAAATCCGGATTGCGCTATCTGTACACCCTGCGACAATAACATTTGGAGTTTGAAATACGACGCTAATTACCTTGGCTTTTTTTGATGAGGGTCGAACAAGGACTTTATGAAGTTGGAGATTTTCGTCTTGAGTCGAGTAGAGGACAAGGGCTCCATCAGTGCAGCCAGTAATTAAATACTGACATTTTTCTTGTCCATCAATATTTTGGGATAAAACGACAGTCGCAGGATTTGAACTTGGCTGTGCAGCTATACACCAGATCTCGCCATGATTTCCACTTGCTTGCCTTAATGGTTTACCGGTGCTTAAATCCCATTCCGTTATAGTTGTGGTGTAGCCTATGCTGAAAAGTCTCAACTTCCCAATTATTGTTTTGCCATCAATTTCCTCATTGGGATCTTGTGTCCAAACGAGTCCATCAATACTGCGATCTTTTCCCCCACGTATTATAATCTCTTGAAGCCATGAACCTTTAATTGGGTTCCATATTTCAATATCACCGTTTGCACGGCCAACGGCCAGTCGTAGAGGAGCAGTCTTTTTGTTGCTAGAGATGTTTGAGTGGGAAAAGGCGAGGGCGTTAATTGAAGATGGTGGAATAGGAACAAATCTGCAGCGATGTATATCCATTTTGGTGATGGTTTAATCACAATTTTTTCGGCCTTGTCGTATTGAAAAAATGCCTTGCCTACTTATTTACTAAGCGATATCTAAATTTAAAATTTTGAAAATCTTTATTTATAGTCACGTGAATAAACCCTAGTTCCAACGTTGATTGTTCATCAGATCAGGACAATTGGGAATCCGTTAATTCTTCCAGTACACTCTTTGAGGAGCATATTATCACTTCGGGTCGATAGTTGGCTTGGATGAAATCCGGAAAATTTGAGCCAATGGGTTGTTGTACTGGGGAATTATGCCAGATATTCATCTGTTAAGGAATCAGTCTCCCAACACCACTACCTCGCCAAGCCGGCAAAGACGTATTCTTTACCTCCCACTGGTGCCGGTGTGATCGCCGAGGATGCTCTAAATATCTAGGATATTCAAGAATAATAGGAGTCGAAAGCAAATCAAAGTATATCTGAAATCGACGACGTCTCGTCCATGTCGGACCTATCTTTCTCGCGCCAATCATTCAACTTACACAAACCACAAATCAACTCTCCTCAAGGACTAAACAGGTAGCTGTAACGATTGTAAACCGGAAATTACCTCATCAAAGTTTGGCCATCTCCCAATACAAAGTAACGATACTACATATACCTGAAAGGAGGAATTCAAGTCAGTAAACAAAGCTTGGGTCTTGGTCTATGTGGGACTGTTGCTCTGATAGGATTATATAACTTGAGTTAGGACATGCGACTTGGGTATGGAGGGAGATGAAGAAGAGATCTCGTGGTCATTTATGAACTGATACTTGTTATGCTCAGCTATGTATTATAGTAGATCTAGTGGCTGGCACATAGGTAGTTATTATGGCGGTATGGCATTATGGCGCATGAAGAAGATCCAGTCTCTACCAACAGCATTTCATGTAATACAAAGTGCAGTGTGAGAGACAGGTTGTTGATGTAGGACAAATGGCACAGTTACTCACTTGGGTGTTCAATTAGGTTTGGTTCGGTTCATTAACGTGTTAGGTTACATGACTACCGTTGCACTCCTATTGGAGCCTAAGCACGAGTGGGGCCGGGCCGGATCAGGTTAACTACCGTGAAGTACAGATAAACCTCGTCCCACTTTAATGACCGGACCATCTCAGACTTCACCTATGTGTTGAATCATACCAGGCCTAACCGCCGGCAAAGACGAATTCTTCACCTTCCAATGGTGCCGGTGTAATCGCTAAGTATGCTCTGCATATCTGAGATAGCTAAGAAGAATCGCATCCGAGTCGAAGTCGAAAGCAACCTCATAAACATCTCCATTCGACAACTTCTCGACAATGCCTCTCTCATCATCATCATCTGAGTCCTCAACCCATCTCTAACCACGCATCATCTTGCCTCAACGACCAATAAAGAAGTTGCTCCAATTGCATACAGGAGCTTGCCCCATTAATCTCCAGCCATCAATCACTACATATTTACGACGCTATTTATACCCGCAAGGAGGAAATCAAGTCGAAAAATACAAAGCCTGGGTCATGGCTTATGGGGGACTGTTGATCTAATGTGACAAACAACTTGAGGAAGAACAGGCGGCTGAGATGTGGAGCGAGAGGGGAAAGAGGTCTCTGAAGAGCATGTCGGGACCGATATTTTCGAGGAGTTTTCAACTTTGGATTTTTTGTGGCCGCCAAGACCGAGATTTTGGATAATTAGCCCGGAAGACTTCTATTGTCGATAAGTCAGCGGCACTCCCCAGCGCCCTGGACGGCACAAAAGAGGTTGGACTAAGCTACTATACAGCAATCACGCTCTGTCAAAACTTTTTTGACATTTCAGCGCGACCTTCAGAAAGGAGTTGGAATGAGGCTAGAAAGGCAGAGTGTGAATTCTCCGAGGTACCCACAAGTCTGCAGCGCCCAGCTGGCCGACCCCTTCGAACGCTTCGGAAGGATCACTATGTCTTCGGATTTAGTCCTAATGTCGGTATTAGGAGAGCTGTCAGACCAGTATCAGAACCCGGTGGAATTCGTATTCCTGAATTAATGTTTCGTGATTCATGTAAATTCCATTCTTCTAACATGATCGTAACATTATTGTCAGAATAATATGCCAAGCTGGTACCTGACATAATTTGTGATTGCCTCAGGAAAACCTTGGCGTTTTGGGTAATTTTCAGCTAGAAAATGCTTGGCGTCCGTGTAACAGACGTGGTGGACTGCTATTGAGTCGGTTTTGGATTACATCTTGGCTACAACATGTTTGGATTGTATCCTGTGATGTAAGGAAGCTATTTCTAGATATTATCATCATATGTCAGGTAGTAGATATGTGTAGATATATAAGCTGAGAGAAAGAGGAAGGAAGACAGACAGACAGACAATTATATCTTTTTATTTTACTTCAATTGAAAGCTCCTGTGCGAGCTATTCTTCCAGATACCTCTAGTCTCAATCATTACAGCTTCCGAACCAGCTCAAAAGGTTCGACAAGAGCTCCCCACCCAGTTGTTTTTTGCAATTTTTCCCGGCTGCCATACACCCGCAAATGGCCGCCTTCTCGTTAGCTGGAGAGGGGAAATTATGAAGGACAAAAGGCTCCTCTTGGTGTATAATCATAGGAGGACTTGTAAAGGATGGTACTGCTTGAGAGGAGCTGTATGGGAGGCATAGGAGGGGATATACTACTGGTACAGTTATCCTTGGCCTGTTAGCAGAGAGGACCTGCATGACCTACGTAATCAAAGACCCATTAGGACGTAAAATACTAAACAACTACCTCTGCAAACTCTCTAAAGCAAAAATTTATTCACAGATGGGCTTAAGTCTTGTCGCCGAGATTAAAAGAGCCATCCAAAATGTGCCCTAATCACTGTTCATGTACTATAGCCATAAATAAATAAATTATTCATTATCTTGATTTGGCGCCTTGAGGCTCATGCAGGTTACATCGGAAGATATTTGCTTTAAGTAGGATGACTCAAGTTGACGTGTAGACACTCATACTCTAATTTCATTTGCAGATACCACTCAAGGTTAACCCCTACGGGGTACAATCTCGTCCAGGCATACCCACCACAGGGAAAAGCGTGAAATACCTGTAGCTATCCGAGTGTGCTTTCATCATCCCACAAGTACAATATCACCGCGAGAGAGAGTGGTGTGTGGGTCTGACTGGATTAGAACCAGCTTTCTTTTGTCCCAGATGGGGTAGGTGTTCAAGCTGCCCAGTATCTGCTTGCGGGAACGTCCCGGATGGTGTACCACTGCACCATCCGACCCCCGCCACACGTACAATTAGATGTCGAATGAGATTTCACGTATTATCTTAGAAATCATGACTAATTTCGATGAGTAATGAGCTATGTGTTTAGGAACGGCGTTAGGGGAGAGGGATAACTGCTGTGCGGAGGGCAAGACTGAACACCTGTACGCGGTGTCCTCTACGAACCTAAGAGTGAAATATTCTCCCAGAGCCAAGTTCAGTCAAATTTCGCAATATCAAAGAAGTTGGCCCAAGAGGCAAAAATTCAAATTACTCCACCATGTCAATCTTTCACTCCCAAAGAGTCCGATTCTCAACTAAACTTCATCAAGTCTACAAGTACGACATAGTACATCCTCATTCCAATGATCACACCTCTCGTCGACTTTCTCTGGCCTCATTTGACCGTCAAATACACGCCCACACCGATATTTATACCCGACGGAGGAAGCAAAGCGTGGAGCACAAATCTAGGAGATAGCTCTTTGGGATGGACGTGAGACGAATCAGGACAAGTTTACAAGATGATGCAGAAGAGGGATACGTTTTCGACGGGCGTGAAATTTCGAATTTTGGCATGGAGTTTTACGAATTGAGCTTTGTGCGCGCCAAGACTTCGCTTGCGAGAGTGCAGCTGACACTATAAAAACAAGCAGACGATGGAAGGTGTTGTGATCCGCCTCCTGGTGGTGTTCTCTGGTATAGTTTGAGTAGCCTGGGCACCTACTCCACTTGGGAAGGAGATATCTCAGATCACATATCGCGCGGAGAAAAGTTGAAAGATGATGGAGGCGTGTCTGGATAACTCAGGGTTTTTGAGACGTTCCCCTGGGTGGGTATTCACGGATGAGGGTTTACTTGGGGTGGAAGAAAAAGCCACCACAACTCGTCAGTGGTACCTGCAAATGAAATCCGAGGCATGAGTGCTCTTCCTTTACGTTGAATCATCTATTCTGAACTTTTCTTTGATATTGTGTCATAGCTAGATAGCTGCATACGCAATTAAAATCTGATGCAAAAAAAAAAATTCGCTCCTCAGGCAAGTCAGAGGGTCGGAACGGATTTAATGTTCCCAAAGATGTACGAGGTGTCTAGAGCATTCCCTAGCAAGATCAAAATCACGAAATATTGTGGTTTAATAACGTGAAATCAGTAATATTACCACTGTTTCATTCCTGGCCCTGCTTTGAAATTAGGAATAATGACTCAATCTACCCTGATTTGGCAACGGTAAGACACGATTCAGGGGTCTATATCCTGACAGCTCAAGAAATCAACAGTTACTGTCGCAAGGTTCTCTGGGTCTTAATATTTATACCTCTTCTCACATTTGCCATCATGGATTGGGCAGCAAATGCGAAATTAGAACGGAGCCAAAAGGAATCATTGAACAAGGAATAAAAGGTTCTTATAGATTGAAATATTATAGAGAGTATTTTTAGCGACATACTTAGGAAGGCTCTGCGAGAGATTTGGGCATGAGAATTTATCTAAGGTCTTGAAATGAGAGTAGCAGAGTCGATCAATCAGTAATAGCCAAAGACTTGGTGTGGAATAAATTTCAATTCATAGATTCTTATAGTCGAAGTGCCGGCCATGAATGCCACGTCAAGACCATTGTTTTACTCATTCTGATCTCATACAACGACTTTTTGCTAGTATTTAAAGGGTGCGAGCCCGTCCAGGTTCTAATACCAATCTACTGTGACCACGAAGAACTTGAATGTCTAGCATTAAATGATGCAACGCCTGAATTCTACCTATCTAACAATCACTTTTCGCCCAGGTTACTGTTAGATCTTCTTATACGCCTTCATTCTTCTAACGAGTCCCACACACTCCAATAGCTTCTGGGCCTCCTATCCCTTCCATACTCCAATCTTGATCCAGTCTTGTACCTTATAGTCGCACTGCTGAGATATTATTTTCATTTCAGATGTAAACTCGATCCCGTATGAACGGCTCTCTAGGGTATGTTCCTACTAAAGCGCGGGTAGCCGGACTTGCCATGGTTCACCGTATAGTGAAAAAATGGAGAGGAGCAGGCAAGGATGATTAGACCAGAATTTATGCTTTTAAAACTCATTCAATCCTACTCAGCTCCACCAATAAAAAGGAAACCAGTGTTTGAGCGCCTGGTGTTTATCTAAATTCGCATTAATATTTTCCTTCGCTGGCACTTGGGCTAAAAAAAGCTTTGCTAGCCGTGTGACCTCATGAATCGATACTGGATCCATGGTTTAACTACCGTTAAGTTGTTAGAGTTATGAGCTTGAGCTTGAGCTAAGGTGAGGGTAAGAGCGATACAGTAAGGCTGTGACGGAAACCGAGTTGGTGATGAATAAACCGATTTAATAAAATATATGAGGAGAAAAACTAACTCTAGCTACTACTAACAGGTATTTATTGGAGTTAATCCTCCTCGTGAATCTACAGACTAGTGACTTGTCCTTAGGCACAATACTTCTTACCCAGCCACGTATTTCCAGGTGTCACTAAGTTGTAATAACGCTTCAGCCTCCTGAGTAGTAGTCCCGTTTCGTTCAGCTTCATCTCCCCCTCATACAGCCTCATAGTAAGAATTCTTAGTAACAGGCTTAGGTATCCACCTAAGCTCAAACAACGGTCAAACCGCAACAAAGGCTTATTTGAGGTCGCATGGAGGAAGATTTGAGTGAAAACAATTGTATTGATATGTATGGTTCTGAGTGAACTTGGAGGATAATAGGTGAGATTGCTTGCGCGTATCTTTATCTACTGTGGCTCGTAACCAGTATTTGTGAGTCCCCATGTATCATGATAACTGTGGATGTACATCTATATGAAAACAGATATATAAGCCAGGAATAGTAAGCTAATATCGGAATACTCGGGTGGTATTTATATCACACGCTTTCTATAGCAGTAATAACAATTGGTAGTTAACATGTATGTTGAATTTTGTCTTTCTTACTAAAATATCACGTATACACAGTTTATTTTTTTACATCAGATCTTAATTGCGTATGCAGCTATCTAGTTATGACACAATATCAAAGAAAAGTTCAGAATAGATGATTCAACGTAAAAGAAGAGCACTCATGCCTCGGATTTCATCTACAAGTACCACTGCGAAGTTATGGTGGCTTTTTCTTCACCCCAAGTAAACCCTCATCCGTGAATACCCACCCAAGAGAGCGTCTCAAAAACCCTGAGTTATCCAGACACGCCTCCATCATCTTTCAACTTTTCTCCGCGCGATATGTGATCTGAGATATCTCCTTCCCAAGTGGAGTAGGTGCCCAGGCTACTCAAACCATACCAGAGAACACCACCAGGAGGCGGACCACAACACCTTCCATCGTTTGCTTGTTTTTATAGTGTCAACTGCACTCTCGCAAGCGAAGTCTTGGCGCGCACAAAGCTCAATTCGTAAAACTCCATGCCAAAATTCGAAATTTCACGCCCGTCGAAAACGTATCCCTCTTCTGCATCATCTTGTAAACTTGTCCTGATTCGTCTCACGTCCATCCCAAAGAGCTATCTCCTAGATTTGTGCTCCACGCTTTGCTTCCTCCGTCGGGTATAAATATCGGTGTGGGCGTGTATTTGACGGTCAAATGAGGCCAGAGAAAGTCGACGAGAGGTGTGATCATTGGAATGAGGATGTACTATGTCGTACTTGTAGACTTGATGAAGTTTAGTTGAGAATCGGACTCTTTGGGAGTGAAAGATTGACATGGAGTAATTCGAAATTTTGCCTCGTGGGCCAACTTCTTTGATATTGCGAAATTTGACTGAACTTGGCCCTGGGATAATTTTTCACTCTCAGGTTCGTAGAGGACACTGCGTACAGGTGTTCAGTCTTGCCCTCCGGAGCGAATTAATGATTTGGCTGGAATATGAGAAGTTAATTTAGGCAGATCGTCTTGGCTTGGACAATTCTGAATATCATCGGTGTGAATGTTGACCAAAGAATTCCTTCAGTAAGAATTTCTAGTCTCCTTCAACTTAATTAGGGATATATGAGGAAAAAGATAGGCCAAAAAAAATAGCAGATGTACCTGCTTGCACTTTCAGATCGATAAAACATCTTAACAGCCCGAACTAAAGCCTTCATGTCATAAAAGGTATATAATTCGAAAACAGGTGAAACATTATTCAGATACAAGTACACATTGGTTATAATAATTTAGCAAACAGATCGGGGGGTTTAGAAGTAGGAAGAATGAGTCGTAACTCGAAAAAAGGCAGAAGAGATTGAATACAAAGTGACGAGCAAGAAGTTGCATTGGTGGAGAAGACATAGAACTTCAAATACACCCAAATAAATTAGCAGACCGAGAATCCAAGAACTATCCTCGACCATTTAGCCGTCAAGCCCCACTATAAAAAGAGGAGGGCCTAGATGTCATAAATATTCATAGACTGGGAAAAAAACTAAAAAGAAGAGGAGGGCTAAGACTGAGAACCTATCCGCAGTATCCTTTACAAATATGGAAGTGAAATCTTCACCTAGATTCAAGTTAAGTTAAATTTCAAAACACCGAAGAATTTATCTCACAAGGCTATAACTCGAGACTCTCTACCTAATTAATTTTTCATTCCTACAAGTTTAAGCACGGTCAAAACCTCATATAGTCTACAAGCGCGACCCAGTGCATCCTTATTTCGCTGATCTCAATCTTCATCGACTCAGTTTCTAACCTCAGCTGCCCTCCAAATGTATTCTTACGAAATTGTAAAATTTGCTAGAGGAAATAAATAGTGGCGCACAAAGGTAGATATCTAGGATTGAATTGTAGGGGACCAGGACAGATGAACAAGATTACACTAACGATAGATACATTCTCGAAAAGTCAGACTCTAGGTGAAAAAAAGCCGCCATAACTTCGGTGTGGTATTTGGATACTGAGTTCAAGGCATAAGTGCTCTATTTTTAAATTGAGTCACCTATTATGTACTTTATCTCTGAGACTATGTCATAACTAGATAGCCGCATACGCAGTTAAAATCTTATGCTGACAAAAAAGCTCGAAAGGAGCAAGATTTTGTTTTTTTGGTAAGAAGTTTTATAAATTGATGGGCATTGTGCGCTACATGACATCGATTGTGAAAGTGCAGGCGACACTTTAAACATCGCTATGATTAGGTAGTGCGGTGGTGTTTCATCTGGGCCAGTCTCCTAAGTTTTGACTGGATAACATAGACATGTATCTTAATTAAAACAGGACTTGGCTGGTTTGAATCCGATAATAATACTACATCACATTTATCGTGGTTCTGGTGTCCATGGGTGACAAAGGCATACTTGAATAGCCGAAGGGTTTAAATGTCTCTTTGGAGGGTACTCTTGGAGGAGGATTAACTTGCTTGAGTAATAAAACATAACTCATTGTGGTATTTGCAAAGTATGGAGTATGAGATTCACTTTAGTCGTAAGTTATCTTACATGTATACATAGTACTAACCATGTGTCTTAGCCTTTTAGATGAAAAGACTTGAAATGATTTAAGAATCGTATCAGAGCGCTTTACCCACCTCAATCTCGACCGCTGCGCACTAGAGTCCTTGGCATCCGCTTCGTTTCTATTCCTAATTTCCCCCTATTATACCGTCGGGTCGTTGCGATTAGATTGAACTTTGCCACCGAATGATAACGCACAATCCGTATTCTCTCTTTTCTTCTCAATTTAGCCATAGCCCGCTTTCACCGTAGACTAGTGGTAATACTTGCAGAGGTTGTTGATGAGATAGTTACGGTAGTTGATAGCAGACCTTGCGTTTCTCGACAACGACGACCCATCAAAGGACGCTTAAATGAACGAGATGTATCGGGTTTTATTGTGCGTTCCGAGAGACATTAAGATTTATCCGTAGATCGCATTCCGATGAGTCAGATCTGCCTTCATAGCTTGACTGACGAAAATTTTCAGATCGATTCGTTTGTTAAGATATCATGCGGCCTCTGGCTTACCGCGCAATTACTTAAGCTAGTGCCGCCCTTGTTTGCGATTGAATCTCGGCTCTGAGGGAATTTCTCAACTCCTGGTTCATGGAGGATACTGCTGACTGGTGTTCAGCCCTCTTTTCCTAGGTATCCCTGCTTTTAGTCACATGAGTTCATGTATTATCCTTGTCGGTGCCAATCTAAACCAACTTAACTCTAAGATCCCCATCAAGCCAACGCAAAGCTGCTACACCTTAGGGTCATGATTCAACGGCATATGTCGCCCTGGGGTATAGGAAATCTGCGGGGAGGCTATCTTAATGCTCTCCTCATCTCCTGACGTGACTGTTATTTATCATGGGTAATCTAAATTCGTCAGGTAAGTTTTACTGGTCGCTCTCCACACAAGCTTGACGAATTCTTCTAGGCCGATGGCGATGGTATTGCGTCATCTGAGCACGCAAGCGTGCGCGTTGAGTGCGAAGTTGAAAAGCATTCTACGAGCCTCTACTCAGGAATTTCCAATCGGTTTTCTTGGTGGACATCGATTCAACTTTTCACAAACTTCCGAAATCCTCAGATTGGCACCGCCAGCTCGTAATGATGAGCGTGAAGAATGACACAGACAGCAGTCATTATGTTGCGGCAACAGCGGTCGATGATACTTCTTCAGGTAATTCCCTTTGAATATGAGAGCACTGGATGTGCCGTCTGATTTTCATAGATCTACCCATAGACGATGAGATAAACATCTCTGATTCTCATCGCCAAATTGGCATCACGTCTGCCGTCTTCCTCATATTCAATCGCATAGTTGGGACTGGTATCTTTGCGACTCCAAGCGCTATTGTTGCACTTTCCGGTTCTTTGGGCCTAACGCTAATAATCTGGATTTCTGGTATGCTCATCGCTATGGCTGGTCTGATGACCTACATGGAATTCGGCACAGGTATTCCTCGCAACGGCGGCGAGAAGAACTATCTCGAATATGTCTACACGAAACCCAAGTTCCTGGTTACGGGAATCTACGCCAGCTACGTCTTATTGTTAGGCTGGGCCGGTTCAAACTCAGTAGTCTTCGGTGAGTATATTCTGAATGCAGCAAACATCCAAGTAAACACATGGAACCAACGCGGCGTTGGGCTGGCCTGTATTACCACAGCCTTCTTGATTCATGGCACAGCACTCAACTGGGGCTTACGGCTTCAGAATTTGCTGGGCATGGTTAAACTGGGCATTCTATTTCTCATAGCCTTTTCAGGATTTGCAAGTTTTACCGCATCCTTAGGTGATCCTTTGCTCCATTCTAATTTCAACCTAGGCTGCACTCGCCGGTCAAGTAAAGTTTGCAGAAAAACCCGATAACTTCCACAAAGTTTTTGAGGGTACGACGGGTAATTCGTAAGTTGGAAAAAAACATGCAGGATTACCGCTTGGTTATCATTCTTACTAACAGATTTTAGGTATGGAATAGTTACCGCATTGTTCAACGTTATTTGGAGCTTTACCGGCTACAATAATGCCAACTATGCCCTCTCGGAAACCAGGGACCCAGTACGAACCCTGAAGATCGCGGCACCTTTGGCTTTAGGCTTGGTCTCAGCGCTTTACATCCTAGTCAATGTAAGATTTTACACAGCGTTGCTGTGCCCTGTTTCTAATGAAACTAGATTTCATATTTTGCGGCTATTCCAAAGGCAGAAATGATCAGTTCCGGTCGGATCATTGCCGCCCTCTACTTTCGCAAGATGTTTGGACCCGGAGTCGAGCGGGTCTTTTCGGTCTTCGTTGCTCTTTCTGCTTTTGGGAATGTGCTTAGCGTGATATTTTCTCAAGGTCGATGTGCGTGATGTTTCCTTGCATCAACTTATACAGGCTAATGATAGGTTGTATAAAGTGGTACAAGAGATTGGCCGTGAAGGCATTATCCCTCTATCCAGTCTCTGGGCGAGTAACAAGCCCTTTAACGCGCCATTTATGGGTCTCTTTGCCCATTGGCTAGTGTCTGTCATTATTATGCTGGCCCCACCACCAGGAGACGCATATAATTTCATACTTAAGTCAGTTCTTACATTCTACATGCATTGTTACTCCGCTGACCAACAGTGTAATTTCTTATCCCGTTGCTGTCATCAACGTTTTCGTTGCAGCCGGCTTAATCTTCTTGTACCTCAAACCCTACAGTCCGGAGCGGAACCCGCCGAATTGGTCGCCACCATTTCGCGCCACACTCCCGGTTGTATGCTTCTTTCTACTATCAAATTTATTTCTTGTTCTTGCCCCATTTGTGCCCCCATCCATGGGACAAACAGTTTACAAGACTCTTCCCTATTACCTGCACTGCGTCGTTGGGATTGGAATAATGGCCTGTGGCGCACTGTACTGGCTTGTGTGGGCAGTCATATTACCGAAGCTGGGCAAATATCAGCTAGTCAGAACGGAACAAGTCATGGAGGACGGATGGACAAGGAACATCTTTAACAAGCTACCACGATGAGATATTTTGGGATTAAGTCTTCTGAAGATCGAAAGAAGCAATCTAATTCTTCCAGCTACAAATGGCAAATTTAATTAATAATTGGTCTAGGCACCTAACCAAAAACTGGGCTTGATAACACATCACCGCGGAGGATTGTCGGCAGTCACATCACAACATCCATGTACAAATTCACTGGTGGCGAGATTCCTAGATCCATGGTGCGTCTACGAAACAGGGTTCGATGCACTAGCCGCTCTCCACCAATAAACAGCTTCACGTAACCATACATTGGGTCACTTGGCGGGAAACAATCCCAGTCCGTGTTCAGTATTTCCATTTTCAATTAGTTTCAATACCATGTGTATTGAAGGAATCTATCCTACGGCCAATCTATTTGACAAACTTAGGGCTATCTATACGGGGCTTTTTAGAGTCAAGAGTGTTCTGGAATCCCTTAATAGAGAATAAGCGGGCCGTATCACCTGTAGTATCGTACTCTTTCCTGAACAAATAGTTGGACTTGAATTTTAATCACTTATCCGTCGGAGGAACAGTAAAGGTCCTATTCTATCTCGTAGGTCTATAGTCGTCTAATATGAAATATTGTCCAAAGCAAAAAAATTCCTTGCAACTATTGCCTGGCCGTTGAGGTTCGAAGAATCTACCACTGTGAGCGATATTCCCTAGAAATATAAAGCTCTCATAGTAGAGTCTACAGAGACAAGTTAAGTCCAACACTAGCCAGGAGAGCTTCTATTGTCAATGAGTTAACAGTGTGCGGCTGTCCAGCTTTCCTGGAAGCTTCGGAGGGGCAATTATGTCTTTGACTTTAGCATTAATGTCGGTATTATTAGAGCCTAACACCCAGCTGGTTTTGAGATTTTCCCAATCGGCATACACGCACAAGTAGTCTTTGTTTCAATGGTAGAAGTATGACGGTCTCTCACGGGCCGAGTACGAGTATGAAGAGGATATAAGTGTATTTTGCGTTATCAAAGGAAAGTAGAGCCGGGTACATCATAGATCTAACCAGGGCACTAACATGGTTAAGGTTTTTTCTCCCGCGACGAGGAGAGAACGCGGGGTGGGGCAAAAGGCACCTCTGAGTGAACGATCGAATCGAGAATTGTAAGGGGTGATATTCTGGAAACGAACTGCAGACAAGGTACGGAAGGGTAAATACTACGCGAAGCACGGATATTTTTGGACTTGCATCGTCACGGACTGAATAATGAATGCCGTTCTGACGGAAACCGAGTTGGTGATGAATAAGTCGATTTATTAAACTATATGAGGATAGAAGAGAACTCTAGCTGCAACTAACAGGTACTTATGACGACTAATCCGCTTCGTGAATCTACTAACCGATAGCTTTCCTCCAGACATCACACTCGCTGACTAGCCACGTATTGTTGGGTGCTACATAGTTGGAACAGCGATTCAGCCTCCTGATTAGTATTATCTTTTCGTCTCGTCCCATCTTTCCTTCCCCGTGTAGTCTTATTGTAAACAATCTAAGCATTACGCTAAGGTATCCACCTAAGCTCATACAACGGTCAAACCGCGACAGCCGTCTTTTTTATGGATAAATTCTCGCGAGTGTATACTCGCTAGCCAAAATAGATTTGGCCAACAAAACTGATAGATATCATTGTTCTCCAACTGGAGCTTTAATTCTGAAATAGTAACATGTCTCATCGGTAGCCACAGTGGTGCAGAGAATAGGTTCAGTGGTTAAGATTGTTGTTTATTTGTTTGTTTTCAAATTTTCGTCCGTCGGGGCGCCAAGCTTTGGCTTAGGACCCTACTATCCACTAAACCAACTAGAGGGATGGACGCCAGTGCTTACTGCCCTGGTCTTGTCTTGTCTTGTTCATTTACGTGCTGGGTAAAGTCACTACCGTTGCACTCCTACTGGAGCTTAAGCACGAGTGGGGCTGGGCCGGATCAGGTTAACTACCGTAAAGTACAAGTGCCTTGTCCCACCTAAATGACTGGACCACTTCAGACTTCACCTATGTGTTGAATCATATCAAGCCGAACCGTCCAGAGAACCCCCTTTTGGCGCGCCGAAGCGCAAATTCCTCTTCAGCCTCGGCCACCACGCGCCCGAGCCTTTGACATCTTCGCCGTCTGTAACTTTTCCCTTCGCTTCATTCCCAGCTTTGGCTCATCTTAGCATCTCCTCATCTCATCCAGGGGTCGTTATCTTCACTGGAGGCCTCATCCTGTCGCCCACCAAGGCCTCCTCAGTTTGTATTCCCTTTTAGTTCCTTCATACAGCATCCCTCTGTCCTTCAGCCGATCTCGTCGTCCCAGAAACTTTGTAGAATGTCCACCCCTCCGGCCTTGCCCCGTAGCTGCCGTACCCCTAACCATGGAGATCAAAAATGTGACTGAGAGCTCAAGACCGAGGCACCAGCCTTTGTCGAACGCTCTGGTTGATATGCCAGCGAAATGTCGTACGTATTTCGTCGGTGGCGATTCGTCGCAGGTCGAGTTGTTGGTGCCCTTGGCCGAGGTGAGGACGCATCTAAGGCCGGTATTTCGACCGTACCTTCACAGCGACTGGCAATTGCGTAGGGTCAGACATCCTCTTGCTTCTTTATTGGCGATTTGGCTTTTGGAGGTATGGGATTGCTTAGGTAGGTGGTGAGATGATTCTTGAGAGGGCCGCGAGATGAGTTTGGCTAGGAATGATTTTCCAGAGAAAAAGAAAATTGGATCTTGAAGATGTCGGTTGTTGTCATACGAACAACAGACAGGTTATAGGCTGTCTTGTTGTAATTAAGGTATGAGTAGGTATGAGATGTTGAATATTCTAGGGATAGTGCAGAGGGTGGATAAGGATTATCAGAGCTTGACGATATGATGAATAGCTTAGTAATATTATTCTACATATCACAGTAGTAGATAGGACTTATATACACATATTTGGCACCCGCGATACAGTACATCACCGTCTATGCATGAAGTACTACAATCTTAATTCCAAGCAATACTATCCCACATTACTCTATGCCATTGTATAGAGCTGCGCCTCAATAGTCGATCGTAATAATAGCCATGTAGGGCTGTGCAGTACTCGCATAGATGTGTTGTATCCCTGGCACTTGGCAGAGATAAATTTAGAGTAAATGCAATAATCACATCACAACATGTCTGCGGTTCGTATCTGGGGTGTAGATGGTTGATTTGGTTGAGTTGTGCAGTCGTGAAATCTCTGCAAGTCAGATTTTCGACCAAAAATGAGCCAACACCGCTCCTCCCGATCGCCAAGTCGACAAAAACTCTCGAATCCACCCTTTTTCGTGACTGAATCTCGGCTCTGGGAGAATATTTCACTTCCGGGTTCGTAGAGGGCACCACTGACAGGTGTTCAGCCTTCGTCCTCCCTTACTGCCCTCGTGGCTTCGCCCTTGCTGCTTCATAACTAGGTTTGCAGGGCAATTCTCTAATTTCATGATTGCGTGTAGCGTAGCACCTATACTTTTACAGCTAGTCCCCAAGGCTCGTCTAAAATAATGTTTTAAAAACAAGTTGATAAAATGTACAACCAGTCTATGAAGTTATTTTAAATAATTTAATATTAAATTGGAAGGCCTTGAATAGCTGTATGACTGTAGAGAAGACAAGGGAATCAGCACAGTAGAAGGAGGTCAGATAGAATGAGAAGCGATAGTATTGTATTCACAAGAGTGAGATATACTAAATCTACTAAGTACAAACTTTCTCCAGGCGACTGATCTGCATTTTTTTTTTTTGCATCAGATTTTAATTGCGTATGCAGCTATCTAGCTATGACACAATATCAGAGAAGTGTATGATAGATGACTCAATTTACAAGAAGAGCACTCATGCCTCGGATTTCATTTGCAAGTACCACTGCGAAGTTATGGTGGCTTTTTCTTCGCCCCAAGTCAACCCTCATGCGTGAATACCCTCCCAGGGGAACGTCTCAAAAACCCTGAGTTATCCAGACATGCCTCCATCATCTTTCAACTTTTCTCCGCGTGAAATATGGTCTTAGGCGTCTCCTTCCCAAGTGGAGTAGGTGCCCATGCTACTCAAACCATACCAGAGAACACCACCAGGAGGCGGATCACTACACCTTCCATCGTTTGCTTGTTTTTATAGTGTCAACTGCACTCTCGCAAGCAAAGTCTTGGCGCGCACAAAGCTCAATTCGTAAAACTCCTTGCCGAAATTGTAGCCATCCTCTGCATCGCGTGACGCTCTGTGTGAGCCCACAAGTCTACAATGTATAGTAAGATAGCTGGTCTATACTCAGATCAAATGTTGAGCCTTTTTAGGCCAGATGACACTGTGGTAAAAGCTATCCAACTACGTTAATATGTCTTTTGCGTGAGGGATGTTACACTAGTACCCTTCATGTGGTCCGTGCGTCACACATCGTCTTGTAAGCTTGTCCTGATTCCCCTCACATCCACCTCAGAGAACTATCTTCTAGATTTGTGCGCCACGTTTTACTTCTCCGTCGGGTGTGGATTTCGGCATAGGCGTGTTTGAGGTTGTCAACTGAGGCGAGAGAAGTTCGAGGAGAGTAGTGTTCATTGAAAGGAGGATGTACTGTAACGTATCTGCAAACCTGATGAGGTGTTGGTGGGGATCGATCTCGTTGAGTGGGAGAAATTGATTAGGTGGAGTCTTAAATTGTTGCCTCGTGGGCCAAATTTTTCGGTATTTCGAAATATGGTGGAACTTGGCTCTGAGAGAATATTTCACTCTCAGGCTCGTAGAGGAAACCGCATACAGGTGTTCAGTCCTTGCCCTCCGCTTCTCGCTCCTAAATCCCTCATAGAAAGTATAAACATTTAACTATGGCATTGCTTTCGTACATTGGCCGACAGTCCTAGCCCGTCACACACATGTATGTGAAACAGCATTGCTTTGATTTCTTGCTTCAACCAAATGCCTTGGGGCTTGCAGAAGTTGATATGGGGTAAAACGAATTATTATTGGGAAAACATCAAGGTGAGACTAGTTGGGAATGTTTT